TTTTTTAGAAATTGTAATTTTTTGTTGTTGAAATTCACATAACTTAAAATTAAGTATTTTAAAGTGAACAATTCAGAGGCATTTAGTATATTCACATTGTTGTACAACCGCCACCTCTGTTCACTTCCAAAACATTTCTATCACTCCGAAATGAATTCCTTATCCCCTAATGGGTCTCTCCCCATTCCTCCCTCCTCCCATCCCTTGGCAAACACCAATCATCTGCTTTCTGTTTTTAGTGTTAAAAAAAAATTTTTTTTTAACATTTATTTTTGAGAGAGAGAGAGACAGCGTGAGCAGGAGGGGAGGGGCAGAGAGAGAGGGTGACTCGGAATCCGAAGCAGGCTCCAGGCTCTAAGCTGTCAGCACAGAGCCTAGCCCCGGGCTCCAACCCACAAAGTGTGAGATCATGACCTGAGCCAAGTCAGCTGCTTAACCAACCGATCCACCCAGGCGCCCCTCTGTTTTTAGTGTTTTAAAAAATGGTGTAATTTCCATTTGGTGAAATTCACTTTTTAGTTTTTGGTTGTGTGAGTTTTGATAAATACATACAGTTGTGGAACCATCACCCCAATCAAGGTATTAGTTTCCTCCTCACTGTTCCCCATTGTCCCTTTGTGTAGTCCAGACCCCGGCAACCACATTGATCTGTTCCTATGTATGGTTTTGCCTTTTCTAAAATGTCATATAATTGGGATCATACAACGTTTAGCCTTTTGAATCCAGCTTCCTTCAGTTAGCATTCTAACTGTAATTTTCTTTTTGGGGGTCTATCTAGCTTAATTCACAAAGTTACATTAAAATGCGTGTCTGAAGGGAGGGGCTTAGCTAGGATCTGAGTGGGGACGGCCCTTTTCCAAGGCCAGTCGAGCTACCCTTTTCTCTGCCAGGTGCAAAGCGCGCTGGACGGATTCCGTCCTGCTCCTAAGAGGATCAATAGAGGGCGCCGTGGGCCCAGAACGCGAGGCACAGCGAGGGCGGAGGCTCCGCCTCTTTCCGGTGCCCGCGGGTCTGCTCAGCTCCTATAGGCCAGAGGAGGAACTTGGGGGCGGGGCCGGAAAGTCCCCTCGTCTGACCCGCAGTGGCGCGCCCCTAGACTCCAGGCGAGCTCCCCAGCAGGCGGCGGAAGTCAGGGGCGCGGACGCGGCCCCGCCCCTTCCCGGACTAGTCCCCCGCCCCCACCCCGGCGCGCATGCTCTTTGGCGCTTCAGTTGGCCTTGCGCGGGCTCCGGCCCGCCTGTTCCTCTGGTCCCGCCTCTGATCCCGCCCCCGCGCGCTCTCACGCACGCCTCGTACGCAAACGCCGCAAACGTGCGGCTTCCGCGTGTTCCCCGCTCGGAGGCGCTCGCCCACTTAATCCTGCGCCCGCCTGCGCCGAGGACGCGCCCTGCGGAAGAGGCCGCAGTGAAAAGAACAGGTGACGTTTATTTTAAGCCACAGTATCCGCAACATTGTGATTTCAGGTGATGAATGTAAGAAGCTACGCACAAAATACCTCAATCTTTTCTTCCTGCCATGTTTGGAAACCTTGTATGGATCCTGCCCTGACCGCATCTACGTAGGGATGGCCATGGGCCCGAGGCTAGCAGCCACGCGTGGGGCAGCTACAGGGTCCAGGGCCAGCAGCCACGCGTAGGGAAACGACAGGGTCAAGGGTCAGCAGTCACGCGTGGGGCAGCGACAGGGTCCAGGGTCAGTAACTACATGTAGGGTGGCTCTGGTCCAGGGTAAGCAGCCACGTGTGGTTTAGAAACAGGGTCCAGGGTCAGCAGCCACGTGTTGTGTGGCTCCGGTCCAGGTGGCCACCCACCTGCGGGCCAGGCCTGGTGGTCTGGAAGGGCATGGTGTCCTGCAGGCTTTGTGCATACTGGCCTGGGAGGAGGGATAAGTGAGTATGTGGCAATGGGTTGGTGTAGGACTTCCAAGTCCTGCTAAGAAGCTTGGATTTTATTTCTTGTGAGGGGTTGGGCATCTAGGAAGGACATGATCAAGGCCATGTTCAACAAAACCTCTTTTTTTTTTTTTTTTTAATTTATTTATTTGTTTTTGAGAAGAGCACAAGCAGGAGAGGGGTAGAGTGAGAGGGAATAAAACAGAATCTGAAGTAGGTCCCAGGCTCTGAGCTGTCAGTAGACAGCTCTGATGCAGGGCTCGAACCCACAAACGGTGAGATCATACCTGAGCCGAAGTGGGTTGCTTAACCGACTGAGCCACCCAGGCTCCCCAACAGCACCTCTTTACTGAAATATTGCATGATACATACTCAGAAGTGTAGCTTATGTGTTTAGCTCCGTGAATTTTCACAAACTCAATATATATCCATGTACCCAGCACCCCACCCAAGCTCTCAAGTGGTTTATTTTTTCTAAACTTTCAAAACAATTGTGGAAATAATTAGAGGTACAGGGAGGTGGTACTGTGTACCCTTCCCTGGACCTCCAGCAGTGGTAACATCTTGGATTCCTTAAGTACAACACCAAAACCAGGTAATTGTGATTGGTGCAGTGCACTAGGCTTACTCGGATTTTACCGGTTTTATGTGCTTTTGTTTATGTACGTGTGTATGTCGTTACGCATCATTTTGCACCAGCCATGTGTGAGTTGCTCTTCATCCTTACCAGCAATCGATATTGTCAGAACATTATGACATATGGGGCATCTGGGTGGCTCAGTTGGCTAAGCATCCGACTCTTGATTTAGACTCAGGTCATGATCTCATGGTTCACGAGTTCAGTCCCTAGGTTGGGCTCTGTGCTGACAGTTTGGAGCTGTCTTGGGATTCTCTCTCTCCCTCTTGCTCTGCCTCTCCCCTGTATGCAAGCATGTGCACTGGTTCTCAAAATAAACAAACCTAAAAAACATAATGACACATATTCAGCCATTCTGGTAGGTGTAGAGTGAAACCTCCACTGTTGTAATTTCTATTACTATGGACTAGTTTTGCCCGTTTAATTTAATTTATTTATTAAAAAAGTTTTTTTTAATGTTTATTTTTGAGAGAGAGGGAGAGAGACAGAGCATGAATGAGGGAGGGGCAGAGAGAGAGGGAGACACAGAATCCGAAGCAGGCTCCAGGCTCTGAGCTGTCAGCACAGAGCCCGATGCAGGGCTCGAACCCACAAGACTGCAAGATCACGACCTGAACCGAGGTCGGATGCTCTGAGCCACCCAGGTGCCCCTAATTTTTTTTCATGTTTATTTATTTATTTTGCGAGGGAGAACGGGGGAGGGGCAGAGAGCTTGGGGGAGAGAGGATCCTAAGCAGGCTCTGTGCTGAAAGCCCAACACAGGGCTCCATCTCATCCAGGAGATCATGACCTGAGCCTTAATCAAGAGTCGGATGCTTAACCGACTGAGGCACCCAGGTGCCCCTAGTTTTGCCTATTTTAGATCTTCATGAAAATCATATAGTACTTATGCTCTTCTTGTCTGGCCTTTTCTGCTCAACACAGTGTCTCTAAGGTTCGTTTATG